TGCCGCCCATTTGTGGTGCTGTCAAGCAGACTTCTGCTCGTGTTGACTTTGTTGTTATTTTTTCGCATACCACGACCCTTAATTTTTTTAAGCAAAGCCTGATAACAAAATTTTATAAGCTTCCAACGTAAAATGACCAATTTAAAAACAAAGCACAAACAAACACACACATACATGCAAACCAATACTTTTTCCATGTACAATAGATCAAAGACACTAAGCTGCGCAGTCCGCGCCGTCGTTAAGCTCGACAAACGCGTGTTCGTTTTGCGCTACACTCATTTATTTGCGAGGTTTTAACGAAAATATCTGCCACCCAATCCAACGGATTTCATTCGTACGTGGACAATCGAACGCGATCGTCGTATCCGTTTATTTGGCTCGATTTTTGTGCAACAAAATTAAAGAAATTTTGAACTTTTCGGCATAAAAGAATTCGTATTTTTGTTTTAGATAACCGTCGCATTTCCCACCGAAAAATGTCGAGTGTTCAACAACCCAAATTGGTGGCGGTCGCCGAGTCCAAGCGTTTCATGACCGACTGCTTTCTGGCCGTCAACGTGCCCAAGGATCATGCTGAGGCCATGGCCGATCTGCTGGTTGGTGCTGATTACCGCGGTCACTTCAGCCACGGCATGAATCGGCTGGAAATGTATATTAACGACTTGGCGATAAACTCGACCGATGGTGGTGCCATACCCGAAATCCTTAAGGAAACTCCCTCCACTGCATGGGTGGATGGCCGCAATGGTTTGGGCGTAGTTGTGGGTAATTTCTGCATGGATTTGGCTATTAAAAAAGCGAAAGCGGTTGGTGTCGGTTGGGTATGTGCCAAGGGCTCGAATCACTATGGCATCGCCTCATGGTATGTGCTTCGTGCACTGAAAGAGGGTTTAATGGGCATAACCACGACGAACACATCACCACTAATGGCGCCGACACGTTCAAAAGAGGCTGCTTTAGGCACGAATCCAATATCATTTGGTGCACCCGCTAAGGATGATAAATTCCTATTGGATATGGCTACCACTGCCGTCGCCGTGGGTAAGATCGAAATCCAACGTCGCAAAGGTGACCCGTTGCCCGATGGCTGGGCGCAAGATCCAACAGGCAATCAAACAAATGATGCTGAACTGGCTTTTAGCACGGGCTGTTTAATGCCACTCGGTGGCCCGGAAATCTCCTCCGGTTACAAGGGTTATGGTCTAGGCGCTATGGTGGATATACTCTCTGGTGTCTCAGCGGGCGCCAACTACTCGACGAAAGTGCGTAAGTGGACGCATGCGGGCGCAAATACAGCCGCCGATTTGGGTCAAGTGTTCATTGCTGTGGATCCCAGTTGCTTCGCGCCTGGTTTTGAAGATCGTATGACGGACTTTAACGGCCGTCTGCGTGGCTGCGAACCGGTGAGTAGGAAAATATGTGTAAATGTAATTAATGTATATATAACAAAAACTGTTTAGTACTTTCTGAAAAAGTTTTATTAGAATAATAAAAAATATTTTTTTGAAGAAAATTATTAATTTTAAACATAATATTTATTTTTTGAGATTGAAGAATTTTTCTATAAACTTTATATGAAAGAATACAAATAATATCGTTTAAAAAAAAAAAAAGATATTAAACATTTTTTGAATTCATTGAATATAGTTTTTAATTATTAAAAATTTCTGTATAACTTTTTATACTCTCGCAACCTGTTGCTACAGAGTATAATAGTTTTGTTCACCTAACGGTTGTTTGTATCACCTAAAACTAATAGAGTTAGATATAGGGTTATATATATATAAATGATCAGGATGAAGAGACGAGTTGAAATCCGGGTGACTGTCTGTCCGTCCGTCCGTCTGTCCGTCCGTCTGTCCGTCTGTCCGTCCGTCCGTGCAGCTCTAACTTGAGTAAAAATTGAGATATCTTTATGAAACTTGGTAGACATGTTTCATGGTACCGTGAGACGGTTGGTATTGCAGATGGGCGTAATAGGTTTAATGTGCATATCTCCTAAACCGCTAATGCTATAAT